GGGATGTGTTGATTAGCTCCAGTGGAGACAAATAATTCAGTTAGCCTCAGCTCTTACGCAGACGCTCCCCCCCCCCCCCCCCCCCCCCACCTCAATGCACATGGAGCGGCATCAGAAATGCTCTCTACTTTTATTCGTCAGCGGAAATATTAAAATCGTTCGCTGGTTGCACGGAGTTTGTTTACGATAAATCACCTCCGATTGCAAATGTCAGCTAATATTCGTGCTTCCAGCTGAGAAAACTGTACGTAAATTATATTTTTAGAAATTAGCTTTTGTGCTTAAACATGACCAGAAAATATTTAGCGTGAAGTTTGAAGGCAAATGCAAATATTTAGTCCATTTAAACTTGTGAGTCTGAGGAAACTGCACGTTACGCAACGTATCAAGAAATCATAGTTTATCAGTCGAGAGGACCTCAACTTGCTAACCATAAATACACAGGAAAACACTGGGCTTTGCAATTATGTTATATCTGTCCGTAAAACTTCGGTTGTTGATATAAAAATGCTGATTTAAGCAACAGACGGGAGTTGAAAGTAATGAAATCAATCAAGCGTAAATTTTCTTCCGACAGTTGCGGACTGCGCGGCCCGACATGCACAATGTTTACTAGAACATGTGACGAGAATTTCATTTCCGCAGAAATTGTCGGGATTTTCATCTGATCGAAGGAATTTCAATGTGACAATTTAAATATGTAATTGCAGAAAGTTCTGTCCGAGAACTGGAACTTCGTATGATTGTTGTATGATTGACTGATTGTTCCTTATTCATCCAAGAATTTCGCGCATATGCAGAAAGCGAACGTTTACCCACCTTATAATAAATGGCGCGTCAACAATAAATACGGCAACGACTGTCTGAAAAACACTAAGACCTAAGGCCTAAGACTCTCTCCGAATCTCAAAAATAAGTCAAAATTCGCCAAAAAACAACACCCGCTAAGAGTAATCACACCAATGACCGCCGCACAAAAACACTCAACCTTTTGCTAGTGGAACCCAGTCTACATGCCAAGTAGAAACCACGTGATAAACGCTTTGCTCTCGTGGACAAATAAATAAATAAATAGATATCGCTGGTGTTGACAAAGTGTGGGAAATCCCACACAAAAACCATTTACCACAAAGAGACTAGGACGAGTTCGACCTGATCATAATTCCAAGATAACTGCAAATTGTAAGCACATTTCCTCTCGGATATTTCATTTGGAAATTTTGGGCTACCTTTCAAGACGTTCCGTTTATTTGGAAAATTTTCCGGTTAGTCGAGCTAAAATTGTTTTACCATTTACATTCTGACCAAAATTCCCGAGTTTTGGGGTAAATAGAAAACGACCAGGGTCCCCTCCTTCTGACAAGTTAATTCAGCCCAATATTTCGATTAGTCGTATCTATAACTAAATTCTCGATCGTGATTGGTTCTCCGCTCGCCTATTTGTAAAAGTAATTGGACCGAGTGGAGTACAATTCAGAGAGTAATCGCGCGAATAACTCCAAAATTGGAGGAGCGCGAAGCACAAGGTCGATTTGAAATTACGAGCACGATTACTCCCTGAATTGCACGACACGAGATCCAATTACTAATTAATCGTATCTATAACAAATTTCGGAATTAAAAATGTCTTGTGAGAACTTCTTTTGAGCGAAAACGTCTGTAACGCTTTTATAAGTTTTTAAAACTGTAGGAAACAATGCGAAGGAAGCCATTAAAGAGCGCGTAATTGACGTGCGAATCACGTGGGTATCCAATTACAGGTATCCAGTTACGAAAAGTTCAAATTGGATACCTGTAATTGGACACCCACGTGATCGCGCGCCAATTACGTGTCAAATAGGCGCGCGGAGAACCAATCACGATCGAGAATTTTGTATAGATACGATTAATTTGTCATAGATACGATTAATTAGTGCGATTAATTTATCGCATGTGCTTCGCGATCGTTCGATTTTGAAATTATTCGCGCAATTACTCCCTGAATTGCACTCCACTCGGTCCAATTACTATTACTAAGCAGAATGATATTCAAGAAACTGATAAATTTGATGTAAAAAGTAGACACAAAAACACTTTCCTTTTTTTTTCTTACAAAACTTTCTTTGGGCGTTGGACGTTAAACGTTTCCACCATAAGCTTACCCGTCAGCTTTGTATGATTATCAAGATTCTTCAGGCCATACCAATACAAATTCAATAGACTGGTCGTTAGAATAAAAATTACTGATCACTTATGTAAAAGCGTGATGTTGTCAGCAACAATTTCTCCCTAATTCATTATTGGCAAATCCCACTATTTGTTGAGATCAATTTGTTACGACACGTTTAACTTTCTCCGTATTTATTTGAGAATGCACGTGACATTAAGCGTCTAAATGACTCTTTCCGCGCATTGTAATTGGCCATAACAACTACAAATTCAACAGACTGATCGTTAGAATAAAAAGTACTGATCACTTAGCAAAATTCTACTAAGTCAACAGTATTGCAGGACAGGTGTCGACTCAAGTCTTGAGAATGGTTATGTTGATCCCTTGAGCGTGGAAGGGTGAAATGCCATGACACTAAGGCCGCGTCCACACTACGCCGGAGGAATTTGAAAACGGAGGTTTCACTCTGAAAATGCATCAAATGTTTTCCGTCCACACTACGCCGGAGAAGTTAGAAAACGCAAGAATCACCGGCCATTTTGGATTTATGTTTGAGTACAACTCAGGCGGGGAAATATCATGATTATCGTGACGTCATCGTTTTTTGATCGTTTTTTCATCGTTTTCTAAAAGCTCCGTTTTCAAAATGTTTTGATGTCCACACTAAAACGCAAAGCCGGCGTTTTCAAATTCCTTTGAATGACGGACTAGTGACGGACTAGTGTGGACGGTAGGCCTAACCGGAGAAATGAGGCTCCGTTTACAAATTCCTCCGGCTTAGTGTGGACAGGGCGTGAACACTAGTACGTCTAGGAGTTATGTCTTTACTTTAGTAGGCTCCTTCACAAACGATGTTCAGGCTCGTCAAGAAAGTCTATGTAAGAACCTCTGTAAAAGCGAGTTAATAGTCTAGAAATTTACATCTGGATGTTATGTCCTTTTAAAACCTAAAATTTGGTCTAGGTATTTACAAATTAAGCAGAATGTCATTGGAGTTTTTTAATTGCGCTTTTCGTTAGTTACAATTGTCTGTATGGTTGTTATCTTTGAATGCCATTGGAGGAGGTTGACAACAAGTTGTACTTTACTTCGTGCAAGAGCCATGCAAATTTAGTAAAGATATTTGCAAATTTGGCAGGACGTCACTGGGTATTTTTTTATTGCGCTTTTCATTATTTACAATTGTCTGTATCGTTGTTAGCTCTGAAAGCCATTGGAGGAGGTTGACAACAAGTTGTATTTTACTTCGTGCAAGAAAGAGAGTGGTAGCGTGTTTCGTCACTTATGATTATGTTAAGTGCAAGTATGGTGCTGTTCAAGTTCTCCAATTTCGAGGGCTTGTTTGTAAAACATGACATATCGTATTTCCAAATTGCAATAACAGGCAAGACATGTAAATTTAAAGTGAAACAATTGTTTACCAAAGGAAGAAAATACTGTTTAATTTCGTTTTGCCATTGTTAAAGCTTCCTCTCTCGCTCCAGGAAACATGTTCAAACTTTCTACCTAGATGTTTAAAAACAGGGTCATGCATACAGAAAAAACAAGATAAGTGAAAGCTTTTTTCTCAACTTGAAATGGCCGAGTCCTGGTATGGAAATGACTGACTTGTTCTGTAAAAATATATTGAAAAGGTCTTCTAGTTTAGTATTTGATTTAAACTGAACTGTGCCTTGGATCAAGGACTTAATAGTTTACTTGAAATGCCGCAATGTATTTATTTGTTATGTTATGGTTTCACCAGGGCTTTTTATCTTAAATTAAGTGATCTTTGACTGTAGTTATGTTCGACTGGGATCAATGAAGATGGCATTCTTAACTGTTCTCGCTTGGCACTTGTGTACAAACCGAACTTGAAACCGAAATTTCAGCGGCTTGTGTAGTAATTCCTGATCATTCGTTGGTTCAGTCATGTAATTCTTGGTACCAACTAAAGCTCTGCAGTCACGTTTCTGACGCCATTAGAAAAGCGGACGTGACCATTCTCCCTCCAACAGCATTTTTCATTCTTTTGTTTTCGTTTGAAATATCAGTTGCAGGTGCGCGACTATGCCCGCGGCTATGTCAGATACTGCACTAAAAAAATATACGAGGCAGGAAATTGGTATTTACCCCAACATACAGGGAACGTCTCTCATTGGTTTTAACAAGCCGTAAATTTCACTCCGAGGTGCTCTTGATAACACTGATCACATTCGAATTCATGATATCAATTTGTTCCACGTTAACAAAACTCTTCTTAACGGCCCCATGTCGTTGTGTGAAGACATCCAAGCTAGGGCGGTTCTCTTGTCAGCCTTCATTTGAATATTTACATTTACCCTAAAGACTTAAAAATGCTATTCACCGCGGCCATTCTTATTATTGTTTAAAATAACTAGGAAATATGGCTGACAAACCAGCCAAACTGATATTCACTGAGCTAAAGTTTAGATCGAGCATAATTACGATGCAAAAGTCGTTATTTAAAAACGTGATGTTGTCAGCAACAGTTTCTCCCTTATTCTTTATTGGCAAATCCCACCTGCGCAAAACTATTTGTTGAGATCAAATTGTTCCGAGGCCTTTGACTTTTTCCGTGTTGATTAAGAATGCGCATGACATTAAGCGTGTAAATGACTCTTTCCGCGCAATTCATTGTAATTGAATGAGCATTATTTTGGCGTCTTGGATGTGAACGATTAGTGCGTTCCTGCTTAGAGGGATCAAGTTTCTTGCGTGTTTAGCACCTAGCAACAACAAAGTGGCTATTTGCACATGAGCGCGCTTTTTCAGTGGAGTGTAACACGTAATGAGTGCGAGGAAACGACACGATTGGAGATTTCAGTCTTGTGTTTGTAATTTTTTTCAGAGAGCGTATCCGTCGCCGTTGTTGATGACAGGTTTAGAGGACTAGTCCTCCTTCCACGATATCCACAAGATGACCGAGGTCAACAGCCTTGCAACTAACTGTTCTTTTATGGTCGATAATCCCGAGCGACGACGTCAGCTATTCGGGACTAACATCGCGGTCATCGTGTTGAATTCGATTTTTGCGTTGACGACTACCTTCCAGAACTTGCCAGTTATTTACGCGATTTTGAAAACGCCATCCTTGCACAATCCTCCCTACGTCCTCCTGTGCTCACTGGCCACGACGGATCTCTTGGTGGGATGCGTCATACAACCTCTGTACATCGCACACAATGCCATGCTCGTCGATGGACTGCGCTTTTCCTGCGCGCTGTGGTATGCCAAAGAGACCCTGTTACTCTTATTCATGTTTCTATCGATCTGTACCTTGGTGTTGATTAGCACCGAGCGCTGGCTCGCCTTACATTTCCACCTCAGATATCGTGAAATTGTCACGATGTCTCGAACGCTCTCGTCGATTGGGTCAACTTGGTTCTTTTGCACGGCGTCCGTCATCGCCTGGCCGTTAGGTCTTAATATGTACAGTTTCACAATGGTCGGCCTTATTGTTATTACAGCAGCCGCGCTTCTATTGCTTTTTACGTATATTAAGTTATTTCTGATACTGCGGCGTCACAAAGCTCTCATTGAGAGTCAAGCCAAGCTGCAACCCCAATCTGTGAACTTACGAAAACATAGAAAGTCGTCGGCCACCATGCTGTACCTGGTGATGTTGTTTTTCATATTCTACTCACCTACTTTTTACGCCATGATTCATTACTTGGAATCAGACTCTGATTTCAGCAGCGTTAATCAGACCATTTTGTGGGAAGTTGCAAAAACAGTGGCGTTGATAAACGCCTCGGTAAATCCGATCATGTATTACTGGAAAATGCGGGAACTTCGACGCGCCATGCGAAACGTATTCGGTTTTTCGTCAGCAACGCGGGTTCACGTCGGAGATGTCATAACGCCCGGATCGGGAAGCATGGACAATGACTTCAGAAGCAGGAACGAACAACAGCGCCAAGGGTCTTTCTCGGTGAGACCGCGGGGAAGCTTGTCCAACGTGGGGCCTGCCAGGTCTGATATACACCAAGATCAGGTAACAGAATCGACAACAGAAGCGAAGCCGCAGCAGGAAAAAAAGTTGTTCCTTTTGCCGAGATTTCTGGAGCCTGGTCCGAGTTTTCGAGGATAATTTCCGCTGAAGAAGGGTGAATAAAACAGGTTATGTAATAGAAGCAATGAACCGTACGATTTTTTGAGGTGGTTATGGTGCGAAAATTCTCGTTAATTGTCCAGTATTATATAGAATCCAAGTGGGATGACGTTAAAGCTCAGTTAAAACGTAGCTTTTTTTTATATCAGAGATCAGAAAACAGAGTTCAAGTTTTCGGTAGATTTACTGTTCTCGCCTAAACACCAATCGTGTTTTAATCGTCTACATATTGAGCTTGCGTTTAGTTTACCAGGAGAAAAGATACATAGGATTTCTTTTGACTTTCCAGGGGCTATTAGTTTAGTTGATTTCGATATTCACGTCGTTGAAGACTGCAATTTACAGACTTCTTTCAAGGGCCCTTAAAGCAACAAGAATAGAGTAAAAAATTAATTTTCTCTTTCGCCTTGGCTGGAATTGTCATATTTGTCCGTTCCTTAACGTATTTAGTTTAACTGTTGAAGGCACTTCCCGTTTAGTTTAAGTTTTCAGTTTTAATTCTTAACAATTTTGTACTTTTATAATTCTTTCCTGATTTTTCTTGAAAGGATTCAACCAACAAAAGAAACAATTCAGTTGATGCGGAACATCTAGCGCAGGATATGTTTAGACTTTAGTGGACAATATTTTGCGTTATGCTAATTCTCCTTTCTTTTTTAATCATCTGCCCTGGAGAAAACCGATCTTCAATTGCTATCTGACATGCTATCATTTGCTTTTCACTTATTTTTTCTCCCCTTTTGGCAAAGCGACAAACTGAGTTAAAAACAAAAGCGCACCTGATTAGAATCGAAACTAATATGTTAGGTATATAGCTTGTTTAATTTGGCAATTTAAATTATGAAAATGTTTTTAAACCTCCTCAGATCTCATATAAATTATTTCCTTTGGCATAATAGCTGATACCTGATAGTGATTTTAATTTTTCTGCGTTTTTCCTTGTGTTATGTTGTTAAATAAAGACAATAGTGTTTTGTCATCGCGTTATTGGCAGTTTCCCGTTTGGCGATTCGTTATTGATAGTTTGCCATGATGTGTGATATTTTTATTTAGTGCCGTCTTCTTAGTAGACTTGGCAGCAATTGAAGATGCTGTTCAAAATTAGCGAAACTTCAACACCGAATCTGTAATTTAACGATAATCGCTTTTCCACCTTGATTTAAATAAGATAATAACGACACTGGAAATTACCCACGAATGTAATGCTATTGTACAAACGTCTTAAAATGTACCTAGATGTTTAAAAACAGGGTCATGCATACAGAAAAAACAAGATAAGTGAAAGCTTTTTTCTCAACTTGAAATGGCCGAGTCCTGGTATGGAAATGACTGACTTGTTCTGTAAAAATATATTGAAAAGGTCTTCTAGTTTAGTATTTGATTTAAACTGAACTGTGCCTTGGATCAAGGACTTAATAGTTTACTTGAAATGCCGCAATGTATTTATTTGTTATGTTATGGTTTCACCAGGGCTTTTTATCTTAAATTAAGTGATCTTTGACTGTAGTTATGTTCGACTGGGATCAATGAAGATGGCATTCTTAACTGTTCTCGCTTGGCACTTGTGTACAAACCGAACTTGAAACCGAAATTTCAGCGGCTTGTGTAGTAATTCCTGATCATTCGTTGGTTCAGTCATGTAATTCTTGGTACCAACTAAAGCTCTGCAGTCACGTTTCTGACGCCATTAGAAAAGCGGACGTGACCATTCTCCCTCCAACAGCATTTTTCATTCTTTTGTTTTCGTTTGAAATATCAGTTGCAGGTGCGCGACTATGCCCGCGGCTATGTCAGATACTGCACTAAAAAAATATACGAGGCAGGAAATTGGTATTTACCCCAACATACAGGGAACGTCTCTCATTGGTTTTAACAAGCCGTAAATTTCACTCCGAGGTGCTCTTGATAACACTGATCACATTCGAATTCATGATATCAATTTGTTCCACGTTAACAAAACTCTTCTTAACGGCCCCATGTCGTTGTGTGAAGACATCCAAGCTAGGGCGGTTCTCTTGTCAGCCTTCATTTGAATATTTACATTTACCCTAAAGACTTAAAAATGCTATTCACCGCGGCCATTCTTATTATTGTTTAAAATAACTAGGAAATATGGCTGACAAACCAGCCAAACTGATATTCACTGAGCTAAAGTTTAGATCGAGCATAATTACGATGCAAAAGTCGTTATTTAAAAACGTGATGTTGTCAGCAACAGTTTCTCCCTTATTCTTTATTGGCAAATCCCACCTGCGCAAAACTATTTGTTGAGATCAAATTGTTCCGAGGCCTTTGACTTTTTCCGTGTTGATTAAGAATGCGCATGACATTAAGCGTGTAAATGACTCTTTCCGCGCAATTCATTGTAATTGAATGAGCATTATTTTGGCGTCTTGGATGTGAACGATTAGTGCGTTCCTGCTTAGAGGGATCAAGTTTCTTGCGTGTTTAGCACCTAGCAACAACAAAGTGGCTATTTGCACATGAGCGCGCTTTTTCAGTGGAGTGTAACACGTAATGAGTGCGAGGAAACGACACGATTGGAGATTTCAGTCTTGTGTTTGTAATTTTTTTCAGAGAGCGTATCCGTCGCCGTTGTTGATGACAGGTTTAGAGGACTAGTCCTCCTTCCACGATATCCACAAGATGACCGAGGTCAACAGCCTTGCAACTAACTGTTCTTTTATGGTCGATAATCCCGAGCGACGACGTCAGCTATTCGGGACTAACATCGCGGTCATCGTGTTGAATTCGATTTTTGCGTTGACGACTACCTTCCAGAACTTGCCAGTTATTTACGCGATTTTGAAAACGCCATCCTTGCACAATCCTCCCTACGTCCTCCTGTGCTCACTGGCCACGACGGATCTCTTGGTGGGATGCGTCATACAACCTCTGTACATCGCACACAATGCCATGCTCGTCGATGGACTGCGCTTTTCCTGCGCGCTGTGGTATGCCAAAGAGACCCTGTTACTCTTATTCATGTTTCTATCGATCTGTACCTTGGTGTTGATTAGCACCGAGCGCTGGCTCGCCTTACATTTCCACCTCAGATATCGTGAAATTGTCACGATGTCTCGAACGCTCTCGTCGATTGGGTCAACTTGGTTCTTTTGCACGGCGTCCGTCATCGCCTGGCCGTTAGGTCTTAATATGTACAGTTTCACAATGGTCGGCCTTATTGTTATTACAGCAGCCGCGCTTCTATTGCTTTTTACGTATATTAAGTTATTTCTGATACTGCGGCGTCACAAAGCTCTCATTGAGAGTCAAGCCAAGCTGCAACCCCAATCTGTGAACTTACGAAAACATAGAAAGTCGTCGGCCACCATGCTGTACCTGGTGATGTTGTTTTTCATATTCTACTCACCTACTTTTTACGCCATGATTCATTACTTGGAATCAGACTCTGATTTCAGCAGCGTTAATCAGACCATTTTGTGGGAAGTTGCAAAAACAGTGGCGTTGATAAACGCCTCGGTAAATCCGATCATGTATTACTGGAAAATGCGGGAACTTCGACGCGCCATGCGAAACGTATTCGGTTTTTCCTCAGCAACGCGGGTTCACGTCGGAGATGTCATAACGCCCGGATCGGGAAGCATGGACAATGACTTCAGAAGCAGGAACGAACAACAGCGCCAAGGGTCTTTCTCGGTGAGACCGCGGGGAAGCTTGTCCAACGTGGGGCCTGCCAGGTCTGATATACACCAAGATCAGGTAACAGAATCGACAACAGAAGCGAAGCCGCAGCAGGAAAAAAAGTTGTTCCTTTTGCCGAGATTTCTGGAGCCTGGTCCGAGTTTTCGAGGATAATTTCCGCTGAAGAAGGGTGAATAAAACAGGTTATGTAATAGAAGCAATGAACCGTACGATTTTTTGAGGTGGTTATGGTGCGAAAATTCTCGTTAATTGTCCAGTATTATATAGAATCCAAGTGGGATGACGTTAAAGCTCAGTTAAAACGTAGCTTTTTTTTATATCAGAGATCAGAAAACAGAGTTCAAGTTTTCGGTAGATTTACTGTTCTCGCCTAAACACCAATCGTGTTTTAATCGTCTACATATTGAGCTTGCGTTTAGTTTACCAGGAGAAAAGATACATAGGATTTCTTTTGACTTTCCAGGGGCTATTAGTTTAGTTGATTTCGATATTCACGTCGTTGAAGACTGCAATTTACAGACTTCTTTCAAGGGCCCTTAAAGCAACAAGAATAGAGTAAAAAATTAATTTTCTCTTTCGCCTTGGCTGGAATTGTCATATTTGTCCGTTCCTTAACGTATTTAGTTTAACTGTTGAAGGCACTTCCCGTTTAGTTTAAGTTTTCAGTTTTAATTCTTAACAATTTTGTACTTTTATAATTCTTTCCTGATTTTTCTTGAAAGGATTCAACCAACAAAAGAAACAATTCAGTTGATGCGGAACATCTAGCGCAGGATATGTTTAGACTTTAGTGGACAATATTTTGCGTTATGCTAATTCTCCTTTCTTTTTTAATCATCTGCCCTGGAGAAAACCGATCTTCAATTGCTATCTGACATGCTATCATTTGCTTTTCACTTATTTTTTCTCCCCTTTTGGCAAAGCGACAAACTGAGTTAAAAACAAAAGCGCACCTGATTAGAATCGAAACTAATATGTTAGGTATATAGCTTGTTTAATTTGGCAATTTAAATTATGAAAATGTTTTTAAACCTCCTCAGATCTCATATAAATTATTTCCTTTGGCATAATAGCTGATACCTGATAGTGATTTTAATTTTTCTGCGTTTTTCCTTGTGTTATGTTGTTAAATAAAGACAATAGTGTTTTGTCATCGCGTTATTGGCAGTTTCCCGTTTGGCGATTCGTTATTGATAGTTTGCCATGATGTGTGATATTTTTATTTAGTGCCGTCTTCTTAGTAGACTTGGCAGCAATTGAAGATGCTGTTCAAAATTAGCGAAACTTCAACACCGAATCTGTAATTTAACGATAATCGCTTTTCCACCTTGATTTAAATAAGATAATAACGACACTGGAAATTACCCACGAATGTAATGCTATTGTACAAACGTCTTAAAATGTACCTAGATGTTTAAAAACAGGGTCATGCATACAGAAAAAACAAGATAAGTGAAAGCTTTTTTCTCAACTTGAAATGGCCGAGTCCTGGTATGGAAATGACTGACTTGTTCTGTAAAAATATATTGAAAAGGTCTTCTAGTTTAGTATTTGATTTAAACTGAACTGTGCCTTGGATCAAGGACTTAATAGTTTACTTGAAATGCCGCAATGTATTTATTTGTTATGTTATGGTTTCACCAGGGCTTTTTATCTTAAATTAAGTGATCTTTGACTGTAGTTATGTTCGACTGGGATCAATGAAGATGGCATTCTTAACTGTTCTCGCTTGGCACTTGTGTACAAACCGAACTTGAAACCGAAATTTCAGCGGCTTGTGTAGTAATTCCTGATCATTCGTTGGTTCAGTCATGTAATTCTTGGTACCAACTAAAGCTCTGCAGTCACGTTTCTGACGCCATTAGAAAAGCGGACGTGACCATTCTCCCTCCAACAGCATTTTTCATTCTTTTGTTTTCGTTTGAAATATCAGTTGCAGGTGCGCGACTATGCCCGCGGCTATGTCAGATACTGCACTAAAAAAATATACGAGGCAGGAAATTGGTATTTACCCCAACATACAGGGAACGTCTCTCATTGGTTTTAACAAGCCGTAAATTTCACTCCGAGGTGCTCTTGATAACACTGATCACATTCGAATTCATGATATCAATTTGTTCCACGTTAACAAAACTCTTCTTAACGGCCCCATGTCGTTGTGTGAAGACATCCAAGCTAGGGCGGTTCTCTTGTCAGCCTTCATTTGAATATTTACATTTACCCTAAAGACTTAAAAATGCTATTCACCGCGGCCATTCTTATTATTGTTTAAAATAACTAGGAAATATGGCTGACAAACCAGCCAAACTGATATTCACTGAGCTAAAGTTTAGATCGAGCATAATTACGATGCAAAAGTCGTTATTTAAAAACGTGATGTTGTCAGCAACAGTTTCTCCCTTATTCTTTATTGGCAAATCCCACCTGCGCAAAACTATTTGTTGAGATCAAATTGTTCCGAGGCCTTTGACTTTTTCCGTGTTGATTAAGAATGCGCATGACATTAAGCGTGTAAATGACTCTTTCCGCGCAATTCATTGTAATTGAATGAGCATTATTTTGGCGTCTTGGATGTGAACGATTAGTGCGTTCCTGCTTAGAGGGATCAAGTTTCTTGCGTGTTTAGCACCTAGCAACAACAAAGTGGCTATTTGCACATGAGCGCGCTTTTTCAGTGGAGTGTAACACGTAATGAGTGCGAGGAAACGACACGATTGGAGATTTCAGTCTTGTGTTTGTAATTTTTTTCAGAGAGCGTATCCGTCGCCGTTGTTGATGACAGGTTTAGAGGACTAGTCCTCCTTCCACGATATCCACAAGATGACCGAGGTCAACAGCCTTGCAACTAACTGTTCTTTTATGGTCGATAATCCCGAGCGACGACGTCAGCTATTCGGGACTAACATCGCGGTCATCGTGTTGAATTCGATTTTTGCGTTGACGACTACCTTCCAGAACTTGCCAGTTATTTACGCGATTTTGAAAACGCCATCCTTGCACAATCCTCCCTACGTCCTCCTGTGCTCACTGGCCACGACGGATCTCTTGGTGGGATGCGTCATACAACCTCTGTACATCGCACACAATGCCATGCTCGTCGATGGACTGCGCTTTTCCTGCGCGCTGTGGTATGCCAAAGAGACCCTGTTACTCTTATTCATGTTTCTATCGATCTGTACCTTGGTGTTGATTAGCACCGAGCGCTGGCTCGCCTTACATTTCCACCTCAGATATCGTGAAATTGTCACGATGTCTCGAACGCTCTCGTCGATTGGGTCAACTTGGTTCTTTTGCACGGCGTCCGTCATCGCCTGGCCGTTAGGTCTTAATATGTACAGTTTCACAATGGTCGGCCTTATTGTTATTACAGCAGCCGCGCTTCTATTGCTTTTTACGTATATTAAGTTATTTCTGATACTGCGGCGTCACAAAGCTCTCATTGAGAGTCAAGCCAAGCTGCAACCCCAATCTGTGAACTTACGAAAACATAGAAAGTCGTCGGCCACCATGCTGTACCTGGTGATGTTGTTTTTCATATTCTACTCACCTACTTTTTACGCCATGATTCATTACTTGGAATCAGACTCTGATTTCAGCAGCGTTAATCAGACCATTTTGTGGGAAGTTGCAAAAACAGTGGCGTTGATAAACGCCTCGGTAAATCCGATCATGTATTACTGGAAAATGCGGGAACTTCGACGCGCCATGCGAAACGTATTCGGTTTTTCGTCAGCAACGCGGGTTCACGTCGGAGATGTCATAACGCCCGGATCGGGAAGCATGGACAATGACTTCAGAAGCAGGAACGAACAACAGCGCCAAGGGTCTTTCTCGGTGAGACCGCGGGGAAGCTTGTCCAACGTGGGGCCTGCCAGGTCTGATATACACCAAGATCAGGTAACAGAATCGACAACAGAAGCGAAGCCGCAGCAGGAAAAAAAGTTGTTCCTTTTGCCGAGATTTCTGGAGCCTGGTCCGAGTTTTCGAGGATAATTTCCGCTGAAGAAGGGTGAATAAAACAGGTTATGTAATAGAAGCAATGAACCGTACGATTTTTTGAGGTGGTTATGGTGCGAAAATTCTCGTTAATTGTCCAGTATTATATAGAATCCAAGTGGGATGACGTTAAAGCTCAGTTAAAACGTAGCTTTTTTTTATATCAGAGATCAGAAAACAGAGTTCAAGTTTTCGGTAGATTTACTGTTCTCGCCTAAACACCAATCGTGTTTTAATCGTCTACATATTGAGCTTGCGTTTAGTTTACCAGGAGAAAAGATACATAGGATTTCTTTTGACTTTCCAGGGGCTATTAGTTTAGTTGATTTCGATATTCACGTCGTTGAAGACTGCAATTTACAGACTTCTTTCAAGGGCCCTTAAAGCAACAAGAATAGAGTAAAAAATTAATTTTCTCTTTCGCCTTGGCTGGAATTGTCATATTTGTCCGTTCCTTAACGTATTTAGTTTAACTGTTGAAGGCACTTCCCGTTTAGTTTAAGTTTTCAGTTTTAATTCTTAACAATTTTGTACTTTTATAATTCTTTCCTGATTTTTCTTGAAAGGATTCAACCAACAAAAGAAACAATTCAGTTGATGCGGAACATCTAGCGCAGGATATGTTTAGACTTTAGTGGACAATATTTTGCGTTATGCTAATTCTCCTTTCTTTTTTAATCATCTGCCCTGGAGAAAACCGATCTTCAATTGCTATCTGACATGCTATCATTTGCTTTTCACTTATTTTTTCTCCCCTTTTGGCAAAGCGACAAACTGAGTTAAAACCTACTACTTCGCTTTTTGCGTTGAGTGAAATATCGAAAACGGGTCATTTAGTTTTCCAAAAGTAACTTCATCGTTTGTCGCCATATTGCGTGGCGGGACGATAATTGCGTCTTAAAAAGCTCTAGGTAAGGAAACCGCTCAACTAAATGAAACTGATTATTATCGTCGGAAATGTTTGTTCGAAACAACTCAATGTGTAAAGAAAGACAACTTCAAATAAATTAAACCTGGGCACAAATGTCGATCGTAGCGAATGTATTGGCCAACGAGTAATGCAATCAAAAGCGCACCTGATTAGAATCGAAACTAATATGTTAGGTATATAGCTTGTTTAATTTGGCAATTTAAATTATGAAAATGTTTTTAAACCTCCTCAGATCTCATATAAATTATTTCCTTTGGCATAATAGCTGATACCTGATAGTGATTTTAATTTTTCTGCGTTTTTCCTTGTGTTATGTTGTTAAATAAAGACAATAGTGTTTTGTCATCGCGTTATTGGCAGTTTCCCGTTTGGCGATTCGTTATTGATAGTTTGCCATGATGTGTGATATTTTTATTTAGTGCCGTCTTCTTAGTAGACTTGGCAGCAATTGAAGATGCTGTTCAAAATTAGCGAAACTTCAACACCGAATCTGTAATTTAACGATAATCGCTTTTCCACCTTGATTTAAATAAGATAATAACGACACTGGAAATTACCCACGAATGTAATGCTATTGTACAAACGTCTTAAAATGTACCTAGATGTTTAAAAACAGGGTCATGCATACAGAAAAAACAAGATAAGTGAAAGCTTTTTTCTCAACTTGAAATGGCCGAGTCCTGGTATGGAAATGACTGACTTGTTCTGTAAAAATATATTGAAAAGGTCTTCTAGTTTAGTATTTGATTTAAACTGAACTGTGCCTTGGATCAAGGACTTAATAGTTTACTTGAAATGCCGCAATGTATTTATTTGTTATGTTATGGTTTCACCAGGGCTTTTTATCTTAAATTAAGTGATCTTTGACTGTAGTTATGTTCGACTGGGATCAATGAAGATGGCATTCTTAACTGTTCTCGCTTGGCACTTGTGTACAAACCGAACTTGAAACCGAAATTTCAGCGGCTTGTGTAGTAATTCCTGATCATTCGTTGGTTCAGTCATGTAATTCTTGGTACCAACTAAAGCTCTGCAGTCACGTTTCTGACGCCATTAGAAAAGCGGACGTGACCATTCTCCCTCCAACAGCATTTTTCATTCTTTTGTTTTCGTTTGAAATATCAGTTGCAGGTGCGCGACTATGCCCGCGGCTATGTCAGATACTGCACTAAAAAAATATACGAGGCAGGAAATTGGTATTTACCCCAACATACAGGGAACGTCTCTCATTGGTTTTAACAAGCCGTAAATTTCACTCCGAGGTGCTCTTGATAACACTGATCACATTCGAATTCATGATATCAATTTGTTCCACGTTAACAAAACTCTTCTTAACGGCCCCATGTCGTTGTGTGAAGACATCCAAGCTAGGGCGGTTCTCTTGTCAGCCTTCATTTGAATATTTACATTTACCCTAAAGACTTAAAAATGCTATTCACCGCGGCCATTCTTATTATTGTTTAAAATAACTAGGAAATATGGCTGACAAACCAGCCAAACTGATATTCACTGAGCTAAAGTTTAGATCGAGCATAATTACGATGCAAAAGTCGTTATTTAAAAACGTGATGTTGTCAGCAACAGTTTCTCCCTTATTCTTTATTGGCAAATCCCACCTGCGCAAAACTATTTGTTGAGATCAAATTGTTCCGAGGCCTTTGACTTTTTCCGTGTTGATTAAGAATGCGCATGACATTAAGCGTGTAAATGACTCTTTCCGCGCAATTCATTGTAATTGAATGAGCATTATTTTGGCGTCTTGGATGTGAACGATTAGTGCGTTCCTGCTTAGAGGGATCAAGTTTCTTGCGTGTTTAGCACCTAGCAACAACAAAGTGGCTATTTGCACATGAGCGCGCTTTTTCAGTGGAGTGTAACACGTAATGAGTGCGAGGAAACGACACGATTGGAGATTTCAGTCTTGTGTTTGTAATTTTTTTCAGAGAGCGTATCCGTCGCCGTTGTTGATGACAGGTTTAGAGGACTAGTCCTCCTTCCACGATATCCACAAGATGACCGAGGTCAACAGCCTTGCAACTAACTGTTCTTTTATGGTCGATAATCCCGAGCGACGACGTCAGCTATTCGGGACTAACATCGCGGTCATCGTGTTGAATTCGATTTTTGCGTTGACGACTACCTTCCAGAACTTGCCAGTTATTTACGCGATTTTGAAAACGCCATCCTTGCACAATCCTCCCTACGTCCTCCTGTGCTCACTGGCCACGACGGATCTCTTGGTGGGATGCGTCATACAACCTCTGTACATCGCACACAATGCCATGCTCGTCGATGGACTGCGCTTTTCCTGCGCGCTGTGGTATGCCAAAGAGACCCTGTTACTCTTATTCATGTTTCTATCGATCTGTACCTTGGTGTTGATTAGCACCGAGCGCTGGCTCGCCTTACATTTCCACCTCAGATATCGTGAAATTGTCACGATGTCTCGAACGCTCTCGTCGATTGGGTCAACTTGGTTCTTTTGCACGGCGTCCGTCATCGCCTGGCCGTTAGGTCTTAATATGTACAGTTTCACAATGGTCGGCCTTATTGTTATTACAGCAGCCGCGCTTCTATTGCTTTTTACGTATATTAAGTTATTTCTGATACTGCGGCGTCACAAAGCTCTCATTGAGAGTCAAGCCAAGCTGCAACCCCAATCTGTGAACTTACGAAAACATAGAAAGTCGTCGGCCACCATGCTGTACCTGGTGATGTTGTTTTTCATATTCTACTCACCTACTTTTTACGCCATGATTCATTACTTGGAATCAGACTCTGATTTCAGCAGCGTTAATCAGACCATTTTGTGGGAAGTTGCAAAAACAGTGGCGTTGATAAACGCCTCGGTAAATCCGATCATGTATTACTGGAAAATGCGGGAACTTCGACGCGCCATGCGAAACGTATTCGGTTTTTCCTCAGCAACGCGGGTTCACGTCGGAGATGTCATAACGCCCGGATCGGGAAGCATGGACAATGACTTCAGAAGCAGGAACGAACAACAGCGCCAAGGGTCTTTCTCGGTGAGACCGCGGGGAAGCTTGTCCAACGTGGGGCCTGCCAGGTCTGATATACACCAAGATCAGGTAACAGAATCGACAACAGAAGCGAAGCCGCAGCAGGAAAAAAAGTTGTTCCTTTTGCCGAGATTTCTGGAGCCTGGTCCGAGTTTTCGAGGATAATTTCCGCTGAAGAAGGGTGAATAAAACAGGTTATGTAATAGAAGCAATGAACCGTACGATTTTTTGAGGTGGTTATGGTGCGAAAATTCTCGTTAATTGTCCAGTATTATATAGAATCCAAGTGGGATGACGTTAAAGCTCAGTTAAAACGTAGCTTTTTTTTATATCAGAGATCAGAAAACAGAGTTCAAGTTTTCGGTAGATTTACTGTTCTCGCCTAAACACCAATCGTGTTTTAATCGTCTACATATTGAGCTTGCGTTTAGTTTACCAGGAGAAAAGATACATAGGATTTCTTTTGACTTTCCAGGGGCTATTAGTTTAGTTGATTTCGATATTCACGTCGTTGAAGACTGCAATTTACAGACTTCTTTCAAGGGCCCTTAAAGCAACAAGAATAGAGTAAAAAATTAATTTTCTCTTTCGCCTTGGCTGGAATTGTCATATTTGTCCGTTCCTTAACGTATTTAGTTTAACTGTTGAAGGCACTTCCCGTTTAGTTTAAGTTTTCAGTTTTAATTCTTAACAATTTTGTACTTTTATAATTCTTTCCTGATTTTTCTTGAAAGGATTCAACCAACAAAAGAAACAATTCAGTTGATGCGGAACATCTAGCGCAGGATATGTTTAGACTTTAGTGGACAATATTTTGCGTTATGCTAATTCTCCTTTCTTTTTTAATCATCTGCCCTGGAGAAAACCGATCTTCAATTGCTATCTGACATGCTATCATTTGCTTTTCACTTATTTTTTCTCCCCTTTTGGCAAAGCGACAAACTGAGTTAAAAACAAAAGCGCACCTGATTAGAATCGAAACTAATATGTTAGGTATATAGCTTGTTTAATTTGGCAATTTAAATTATGAAAATGTTTTTAAACCTCCTCAGATCTCATATAAATTATTTCCTTTGGCATAATAGCTGATACCTGATAGTGATTTTAATTTTTCTGCGTTTTTCCTTGTGTTATGTTGTTAAATAAAGACAATAGTGTTTTGTCATCGCGTTATTGGCAGTTTCCCGTTTGGCGATTCGTTATTGATAGTTTGCCATGATGTGTGATATTTTTATTTAGTGCCGTCTTCTTAGTAGACTTGGCAGCAATTGAAGATGCTGTTCAAAATTAGCGAAACTTCAACACCGAATCTGTAATTTAACGATAATCGCTTTTCCACCTTGATTTAAATAAGATAATAACGACACTGGAAATTACCCACGAATGTAATGCTATTGTACAAACGTCTTAAAATGAAATTCAAGCGTGCGAAAGAAACACTGTAAAATCAGTTGTTTCTGCCTTAATTAACTCGATAAATTATTCATATTTTCGGCTACGATTTAGCGTTGTGTTAGCTCGTGAACGGGATGTTTTCATTTTTATTCTTTGTAATTTGTAAGCTTTTCTTGAAGTTGCCTGCTGTAACGTCTACTGCGGGAACTAAATTTGGTTAAGTGCAAGCGAGATGTACAACGGAGAATCTACGAGAGAGGTGTCTAACATAAATAATTCCAGGAAGAAACTTCACAAGGAGAATAGCTTTTTTTTACTTTATTGACACGTGTTTTGCTATTTTCGATGACAAACTATTTAAAATTCCTGGCATTAATCTGAAACGTTCCTCAACTTATAAATTGCTCAATTGTATTTACCTCTTTACGAAAAATCAAAC